CTCCCCCAGAAGAGGGAGCGGACAGGTCCGTCCCCGGCCCCGGAGCCGGCGGGGAGCCGGCAGGGAATGGCGAACGTCAAAGCTGGCTGGGGCTGCCCTGTCCTTGCAGGTGGGGAGGGGGGCTCTGGGGGATGCTGGGGTGCTCCGACGCCAGCCCGGGATGCTCGTGGGGTGACATGCGGCCTTGTCCCCTCCGGGTGACATTGTGGGTTTCCGTTGCAGATGCCGAGAGCCGAGCCCTGGCAAAAGAGCGCCAGAAGAAAGACAATCACAACCTGAGTGAGTCTGGCACTGGCTGCCCACGGGTGGCACAGCTTTCCCTCTCCACCCCCACAGCCCTTTCCCCATCCTTGTTCCCCTCTCTCCGAGCCAGGTCCCCCTTCCCATCCCATCTCACCCTCAGGAAATACCCCCAGCCCCCTGCCATGGCTCCCTCTTTCCTGACTCTGCAAAATGTCTGTGGTGCAGCAGACCCTGCTGTCCTCCTCATCAGCACTGGGGGAAGGTCAGAGCAGCCGGGGCGATGGGCAGGAGCAAGGTGCTCAAGGGTTGGCCCCAGGGGTTTCTCATCCTGAGCCCCCCGACTCTGGAGGGTCTGGCCAGGTCACGACGGTGGCTCCCAGCCCTGCGAGCTGGGACCAGCCCCGTGGTCGGTGGGGTCTGGGGGACATCGAGCATCTCCTGCTCTTGCTGGCTCCTCACCGCCTTCCCTCACTTCTCACCCTGCAGTTGAGAGACGGCGAAGGTTCAACATCAACGACCGCATCAAAGAGTTGGGGATGCTGATCCCCAAGGCCAACGACCTGTACGTATCAGTGGTTTCTGTGGGGCTGGAGTAACTGTGGGTCTCGTGGGCTTGCTCAACGCTTGGCCCTGTGGCAGGCGATGCTTAGTGGTGGAGCAGGGGTGAGGGGAGATGTTGCTGGCATGCGGGTGGCAATCTCTTTTTCCATCCTGCACGGCAGAGACGTGCGCTGGAACAAAGGTACAATCCTGAAGGCGTCCGTGGACTACATCAAGAGGATGCAGAAGGACCTGCAGAGGTCACGAGACCTGGAGAATCACTCGAGGCGTCTGGAGATGACGAATAAGCAACTGCTGCTCCGCATCCAGGTGAGCTTCCCTGTGCTCTTCCCTCCCTCGGCTCTGCTCCAGCCCCACAAGCAGCTCACTCCTGCCCCACCGAGGGGACGGGCAGGGGCTCTCCTCCCTCTTAAGGCTGTCAAGTCACCAGGAACAAAGTCATCAGACAAACCAGACGCCTGAGGCTCAGGTCACCACAGCGAGTGTTGTTGAGCTTAGCATGGGTCACCATTTTCCACCCTTCACCTCTTCTGCGGGTTCCTTCCCTGGGAGCTTCGTGGTCCCTCAGTCCCTGCCACCTCCCTGGATGCCCATGTGCTGTGTCCCCATGTGTGACGTCCCCACCAAAGACCTCCTGTGCTCTGTTGGCAGGAGCTGGAGATGCAGGCACGTGTCCACGGGCTGCCCACCTCCTCGCCCTCGGGCGTCAACGTGGCCGAGCTGGCTCAGCAGATGGTCAAGCAAGAAGCCAGCGGGGATGAGGGGACACTGGAGCCACTGCTGCCACCTCCGGACCCCGAGTCACAGCCACAGCCGGCACTGCCTCCACCACCCCAGTCTCCCTACCACCAGCTGGACTTTACCCACAGCCTGAGCTTTGATGATGGCTCCCGGGGCTTCCCGGACAGCCTGGAGCCCGGCCACAGTGCTTCCTTCCCATCTCTATCCAAGAAGGAGCTGGACTTGATGCTGATGCAGGACACCATGCTGCCTCTGGCCTCCGACCCCTTGTTCTCGGCCATGTCCCCGGAGGCCTCCAAGGCCAGCAGTCGCCGGAGCAGCTTCAGCATGGAGGATGCAGACATGCTGTGACGAGGAGCTGCTCCGACGCTGGGGGCAAGGACTGGACCTTCAGGTTTGGTTAGTGAAGATACAGGGCACTCTTCTCACAGGAGGAGCCCGTCCTGCCGCGCACTTGAATCTACGTAGGAGTACCTTTTCTCTATGCAACGGGGGTCTCGGATCAAGGCTCGCCGGGTACCGCTGTGTCTTTCGCAAGCTTTTTTTTGCCAGGAGCTGGAGTGGACCTTCTTGGCTCGCCACGCCGTTGGCCTGACTGCAGATTCCCCAGCCTGGGAGAGTGATCTCGGCTGCTTTGCCTTTCAGTGAAACCCTCCCGGACTGTCCCCCTTCCCCAGGGTGCTGGCCCGGAGCCAGAGCGGGCAGGAGCCTTCGAGTCCCCGGGAGGAGAGGAGAGGGACGATGCTCAGAGGTTTTTGCCTGGCTTGCTGCCGCCTTGCCACCCCGCTCCAGGAGCCTACGTATCCAACGTGTCTTCCCCTGTGGTGGCCTCCAAACCTTGTGGAAGTCTCACGGTGCCACATCCTTCACGGTTCCTCCTTGTTCGGAGCACCCGCTGCCTCTCCAGGTCACAGGGCTGGAGGGAGAAGAGGTGCTTGGTTGGAGCAAGTTAATTCATGGGGCATGGAAGGTGTTTTCCAAGTGAGCTGGGTCTGAGGCTATGAATTCGGGTTGAGATTGAGATCTTTGAAAATGGCTGGGATGGGGTGTTTGATGCTTGGTCAACCCCCTGCTGTGACCCCCACCTTGCAGGGGGATGTCCCTTTGGGGTTTGGCAGCACCCACCACCCCAAAACCTCACTGGCCTCTGGACAAGGGCTGCATGGTGCCAGGAGACCTTCAGCTTCTTGCGAGACATCCCCGCAGAGGTGCCTCTGCCCCGAAATGCCAAGCAGTGGCTCTTCAGGTGGAAGGATAAAAGGTTTTTACACTCTTTTTTGGGGATACTTGTTGGAAGCGAACGTCCTGCCCCACATCTGGGTGTGGAGGTCCAGGCTCTGGCCGGGGACCAGGGGATGATTTGTAGCTATTGCCAAACCTGAGCCGCCGCTCTCTGCCTTTGGCTCACGGGGTTTATTTCTCTTCCCAGCATCTTCAGCTTGTTCCCCAGCCGGGATGGCTCAGTGACGGCTGCTTTGGGCTGTGCACCATCTTCTGCCTTCTCAGCCAGGCTGGTGGTGGGGAGGGAGCTGGGCAGGGGAGGGGATTCTGTCCACAGGGAAAATACTGCGTGGGCTTGTGGAAAGCCCTAAGAGGAGTGCAGGGAAGGCTGGGGAAAGGAGACCCCTTTGTGATCCCACACCATGGCACAGCATCACCCCCCCTTGGGCCGTGGGAGCTGTGGCTGGATATACGGGAGCCCGTGCGGGGATGGGGGTCACTGGGTGCACCCTGTCCTGGACCAAGGATGGGGGATGCCATGAGATTGGGACTGCAAGGGGAACGCCCAGCTAAGAAGGGACAACCTTGCTCCATCGTGGCTGGATTTGGGATCGTGGAGTGGGGGACAGCCCCGGTGCCCCCCTGGAGAGGTGCCTGGTTGGACGTGAGGGTGTGGGGATGTGCAGAAGGTGGGGAAGAGAGGGGAAAAGGAAGAGGGAGGACATGTCGGAGGTGTCCTGGAGCTGCTGCCCTGCAGGGGTGCAGGGAAGGGAGCAGAGGGGACATGGGGGTGCCAGGCCAGGGGCACTGGGCTGTGCACTGGTGGGCTTGGGGCTGTTTCACCCCACATGTTCCTGGGAGGCCTTGGTGTCCTTCATGTGCTGCCGTTAGTGCCTGTAAAGAGAATAATCCCCCCGGCAGGGTGGCAGCACCCCCTACGCCGTGCTGGGTACCTATAGACGTGGGTGATCTGTGGATCTGTGGCCACCAAAGGGTCTGCACAGGTGCTTCAGGGCGGGCATACGAAATCCCTGGGCACTTGGGATTGTCGTGGCTCTCAGGTGGTTCTGCTGGGCCCTCGCTGGTGGTACACGGCATGTGCGGGGCTGGCTGGGGTGCCCGCTCTGCACCCCGCTCCTGGCACCGGCGGGCAGAGGACCGTCCGCTGCTCAGCGCGAGATGTGGTGTCTCCCCCCGCCGTGAGTAAACCGTTGTGGATTCTTATTTTTTTTTTTTAATCTTTCGGGGGTTTTTTTGTTTGTTTTATTTTTCTTTTTTTAATGCACTGTGCTCTGATTAAAAAATTTTACTACTGTTTTATAAATAAATGTATAAAAGAATGAACTGGAATGGAAGAAGAATCATTAAAATATATTTATTTACAACATCCTGGAGAGTTGCAGCGTGGGCTGTTTCTTCTCATCCCGAAGCAGGGAGGGTCATGGAGCTCAAAGCACCCAGAGCCGCTTTTGCCCAGCGATGCCAAGGCCGTGCCCAAAGGTTGGGCTGCAGCAACGTCCACGTCTCGCAAAGGAGCTGCCCTGGATTTGGGGGGCTGCTTGGGCGCTGGGGTTTTTGCAGGGAGCCTGGCTTGGTTAGAGGAGGGAAGCAGTGACATTGCTGTCATTCAGCTGGTCCCCAGGGTGGTTTGGGGTTTCCAGGGTCCCCCCTGCTCCTGGTGCCACCCCTGCAGCTGGGTGCTTCAGGGAGGTCCACAGCTCCTGGTGCTGAGCACAGCTGGGACTTGTGAGGTGCTGACCCATCTGCTGATTGCTTAATTGGAACCAGGCTTGGCCCCTTAATTAATAATAGTCACAAGGCCCCAGAGAGTGGAGCTGGGAGGAGTTGTGTCCCTGGGGCTGAGTGTGGTGCCAGAAGTGGAGCAGGTTTGTGGTGGCCGTCCTGGTCTGCGCTGGAGGAGAGCGATGGTGGGGCTGTCCCAGGAGCTCAGGTGCGTTGTCTACCTGTTGGGTGGCCCCTGGAGCAGGTGGGGGCCTTGGGGGGGCTTTGTTGCCCCCTCCTTGCTGCTGGGGCTGGCTTAGTATCATCCCTGGGTGCTGCAAAACCCCTCTGGAGGCCTGGATGGGCAGGCTTTGGGGCAGGGTATTCCCCATCTCCTGTTTGCAAGCTTGGTGCAGGCTGGGGACCCTCCTGCCTGGTGCGAGCAAGGGATAAAAATATGTTTGCAAAGTGTCCTGCTGCTGGGCTGGGCAGGGGGCTGAGCCTGTGCCTGGCAAAACTCATCACATACCACGTTTGCAGACCCTGTCTGTGCTCCTCCGTGTGCGGAGCCATGTGCCAGGTCCCTGCTGCCCCCCGCTCCCCTCCACGGTGGTGTTAAACACATGCAGAAGGAAAAAAAAAAAAGAAAGAAAATCCACCTTAAAATAGACTTCCCAGGATGGAAAATCACAGGGGCTAATCTTGGAAACTTTATTAAAAGAAGACGGGGGGGG